GCTTGTTTTTTCTGTATATTTTTCAACAATACCTAATGCTTGTTTTTTCTGTATATTCTGTGAAGATTTTAGTGTGTTGTCATTTACTTATCGGCTTCTATTAATATTGATCCCTAGAAAATGTTATTTATTATTACACGGCTTTCTAATATAATTACTTGTATCTCACATAGCTATTAGTTTTTGAGATAGAGGGTTGTCAAAAAAATCATGATGCATTTTTTTTTTCTAAGTTCTAAAAAGTTTATTTATTTTATATAAAATAAAGACCATGCAATGATATGTTTCCCATTTTCTCGATAACCTTTTTCCATCTTTCAGGGAGCTTCGTAATTCCTCGTTCATTGAAGGACCTTTCTCTTATTGACGAAACGCTGAACAAGGTAGCGATTTACCTCATCTGAATTGAACATCATATTAGACAAGAAGTTTTGAAGAGTGTAAAACAAGCGGAAATCAGAGGGTACAAGGTCAGGCGAGTATGGTGGTTGTGGCAACAACATCCCCTCCAAGCTCAAATATGTTTTCGGTGGGTCATCAAACTTGTGTATCTGTAACTGCAATACAATTAGCAAGTATTGGATGTTTCTTGATAATGGTTTTGTTCAAAGTGTTCTAAATCTGATAGTTCTCTTCTGAATCAATATTTTGGTTCCTTTGGTAGAGTTTTGAAGAACATGAGGGCTTGTAAATCTCATACCGAGAGCATAATCTTCTTTTAATGTTTGTAGCAGATTAATGCGCATATACTAAGGCTGGTTTTTGCACCACCCGATTGCAAATAATCACCTTCTCCCGTACAGTCATCAACCGCTTCAATCAAGTCAGAGTTATCTTTGATATAAAACTTACAAGCGCAGAATTTCATGTATTTTCTTCATTGGCATTGGCATTTGTGTGTAACATTGTCAAGATAAAGTTTTGTTTTGCTTTTCACAAACTTGGTGTATATTCCTTTTGAAAAAAATATATATATATCGAGTAGTCTTCCATGTTCAACCTGTGAGATTTACAAAATTGTAAATATGGAAAAGGATCGATCATTTATTTATGTTCTTATTATTATTTTAAACGAATCTGATGTTATCAAATGCTAAATGACTATATAGGTTATAGATGTGAATAGCTTTGATATTTCAAAAAATGAATCGTCACAATCTGTTTTGTAATTGCATCATGAAGTTTCTGACAACCAAATAGTTTGTCTTCTTATGTAGACATTCATAGTTCACTCCTTTTTATTTCTTTTTTTTTAGTGTGATTATTGTCAATATAAGGAAACTTCAACCCTTTAATGGCAGTAGAAATAGATTAGTCGAGCAGAATCAGGACTCGGGCAATAGTGGACTCATATATGAGACGGGAGCCAGTCAGGCTCCTTCTTTGTTAAACGGTGGGGTGCTAAGTGATCAATTTTACTTTTAAACTATCTTAAAGCATTCTCATGGGGCAATGGGTAATCTTTCTGTGACTGGAGATTATAGGCATTTTCGAATGATGTTTTAAATAAAATCATGTAAGTGGGTCAATACAGGTGGTAAAAAGTATTCCATCTTGAAAAATGCTCTATCCTTACCGCTCATTGTCACTAAAAGATTAAAAGCTGTGTCCTCTCTTATGTTATCGTCCACCTCATGTTATTCTTTTTCAAAATCTTAGGAATTTAGGCATCTTGTTATATAATTTTTTTTTTTTTTAATTAGAATTCTTATATAACTTGTATGAAACTCTTAAAATCTTCTGAAAGTTTAAATTATTTGTTTGTAATATATGTAATTATTTTTGTTTTTATCGTAAGATAAAGAACCAGGGGTGCCCATCCTCCCTCACCTCCCAACTTCAATGGCTCAAGAACCTACCCTCCTTCCTTCCTTCTAAGATAATTTATTAGTCGCCTTTTCTTAAAAACAAAGCAAGCTAAGGTAGAATTAGAAAAATCGTAGATCATACACAATTACACTTGATGCGGTCTGTTCCATGTTTTATTGTTGTCCCTTAGTCCAAAAATTCATAGCCTGTTTGAAATTTTCCCCCCTTAAAAACTTTGATAGCGCAACTTGCGCCATGAAACTCCCTTCTTTGCACCTCTATAAATAACTATGGTTTGTTTTGTTTGATGCTGATAAATGTCTGATTATTTTACTGCATAATTTAGTGTTGAAGTAAATTTAAGATTTTATCTTTTGATATTTCAGTTGCTGCTTTTCTTTCCATGTTTATTGTTTGATCTACTGCTCAATTGATTAAATTTATAAGAAAAAAATCATAAATTCTCCTCCTGCTGATCACTCCAATATTTTTTCTCAACACATTAATTAACTAAAAAAAAAAAAAAAAAAGAAAAACTTTTCACTTTCAATCATATTTTTCAGTTTTAATATATATTATTTTACAGTTATTTTCAAACTTTTAATACTCTTATTAGAATTGGATATAAAAAGGAATTGTATAAGAAAATTATGGAAGTTTCATCAAAGTTCTTCTCTATCATTGGTTACGCAAAGTTTTGTTTTAAAAGTAATCTTATCTATTTTACAAAATCTTTAAATAATATTTAAAAAACCATTTCTCTTTTTTAAAAAAAAAATATTTTATAATTAAATTTTTAATAGGTTTTGATATGTTGAAATGAAAAAAACATCTATAAACCTCATAGATTTAAAAATAAAAGATGGACAAGACATACTGAAATTTCATTACTCAATTAATTTACTAATTATTATGTAATTAGTATTAGATTCCCTTATATTTTATCAATGGTACTCTCTGAAATGACCTGACATGATAATTTTGGAATAATCGTTTCAACACTTTTATTTATAAATTAATATTCTTTCATAGGAAGTTCCTTTGTAATTACTGTAAAAATCCTTTTTATCTTCATTATTTATTTTCATTGTAATATTAAAACGTTATGTTTATGAAAATGAAGAATTAATATTAACAATGAATAAGGGTGAATAAAATATAAACCTTTTAATAAATGAATTAACTTATCGATTAATTTAGATAATAGCCATACTTTCAGCAGATTTGGAAGCTTAAGGCGGGCTTTTCACATTTCCCAAATGCCAGAAAAAAATAAAAATTGTTCTGGAAAGATTTTAACCTTCTTGTGTGTTTGAGAAATATTTAGTTTATACTGTTTTTTTTTTTATTTAAAAAAAAAAACAGTAGAGATCACATCATTTGAAATCTCAAGTAATACTAGTGCTCATGTGGCACTTTCTGCTTAACTCTCTTAGATTTGTCTCCTAATATTGACAGAATACCAGGACACCAATGCCTCCTTTTACAAACCCGTGTTTGCCATGGTTTGGGTAATAAGTAGACACGACTTCAGATATTCCTTGTTCGTAAACAGTTTTAGTATTAGTTGTCAGCCTATTTTGCATAACTTTCTGTTCGTGCTCAAAGTGATTCTTTCAAGGGCTTAACAAAAGATAGTTTAAGGAGAAAAATCTGGGGTATAAGGAAATGGTTTTTGGACCCGTTTCTTCTTCTTAGTAAAGATTGTGGTATGAGGCCTGGTATTGCCATGGAGGAGAAGAATGAAGCTATTAGTTTATGATTGTGAAGAAAATCATCTTTTCTTTGTCACCCATTTCTCGCTTAATGGAGACCCACACCTCATAATATGTGACAATGTTGTTCCAAAAAATCCCCTATACGAGGAGAATGATTTGAAATGCAGTGAAGATATGAAGCAGTTTGTGCGGAGCTGGCTGACAACCTTCAGTTTTTTTATGAACAAGGAATATTCAAGCTTTCAATTCATGACAAAACTGTATAGAAGACCACTTGCTTATATTAAGAAATGCTACTGAAAGTCACATGTTAACATACATTAGTGTTTCCCAAGTATCAAAATTCGACCATAATCATCATTATTGAATATTTGAGAAAAACATAAATTAATTTGTATGTCTCCAACTTTTTTCTTTTCTACTATTATATATTCGCACATTCACTTTTATGTATACTTGAGTAAGAAAATAGTGCAGTACCATATGTCTACTTTTTTAATTATTAGCAAATAAAAATGTGAATCCATCGTTACTTTGAAATACCATTCAAAAGAATATTTGAACCCACTTTGCTAATTCGGTGAAAATTTGAGGTAAACTATTTTTATTTTTCAATTGCTATAAAAATTTGAGCGTTTTTCTAGGTATGATGTACTTATACTATAGCAATATGCCAAATATAAATTTATCATAAAAGAGCTCTCCCCTAAAAAATATAAACTGAAAAAGATATAAAAATATCTTATCAGACGTGGACATGATTCCTTTTGATTTCGATGATTTTTTTTTTTCTGTGTTTTGTAGCTTTCAAATACTCATAGGTTAAATGAACTAAAAGTTGCGTACTTTTTGTGTTATTTGCAAATACAATTCTGAATCCCTTCATTACTTTTTTCGTCCTCTTTTCTAGAAAGTGTGCTGTATATATAAATTAAAATTAAAGAAGACTTTAGCTAAGTCTCATTAAAATCATTATAGCCGGTTTGACACTGTAGCCTGTAGCAACTCACATTTTTCAGCCACCATTTCAAATGAAAGGTAGGATGGTAATGATATGTATATAAAAACATTTCTTAATTTTATTGTAGCGTTGTATCTAAATTTCATAGCAATTGGTGAAGAACTTTCAGAGATAAATGGTTTTGATCAAAATGTCATTTACATTTAAATTTATATACCCTGTTTCCAATTTTATTTTATCAGTTAACATATCAACACTAAAAAGCTCATCAATAGCTATTTAAAAAAAAAATTAAAAGAAAATCAGTTGTGAAACAGAGGAGATAAAGGAAATGAACTGTTTTGCCTTTGATTATTTGTATAATGACATTTTAATTAACGTTAGCTGTATATATTTTTCCTTAATTTCTATCACAGTGTTATGAAAATATTCTTACATTTTATAAACTATTATTGACTTTAATGAATGACATGATAATGTAAAATAAGAGATTTTTTGTTATCGATTGGTAGATGGGGAATTAAAGAACAGGACACCTAATGGACATGAAAAGACTTCTCTAATGAAACCTAGCCATTGAACATGCTTACTGGCCGCTGTATTGAGGTATTGTTATTAATTTATTACTTATCATCTTATTGTATGTTTTGTATTAATAACTTATATTAAGCTCAATATATGGATTGATATAAAAGTCAATTGAAATATTTACGTCATTTCATTTGGTCTCTATTTCTCCGATTTACATGTTTTTTTATTAAAAGATTTAACAACTTAGCATATTAAATGTTTAATTTTTTTTTAATTGGTGAGTTTTTAGAAATTGATTTTTAGAAGATAGATGAATTTCACTGCATCTTAGATCCTAAAAATTCTCTGTGAATTAGTGAGCAACTATTCTAGAAGTATATTTGATGGCTTATCTTAATTTTTACAACTTAATATTTCAATTCATTTCTTTGTTCATGGTGTGTTTCTATGAATGATAGATATTACACCTTATTATTTTCTATTTACTTCTTTGTAAAATTCTTCAACTTAATATTCTATATCTATGCTTATAGATATATAGTTAGCCTGTGTGAATAAATCGTAAATAATATTAGTCAGTGAACAAATGACAATATTATAAATAAATAAATAATTTGTCATAGTTTAAGAAGAAGGAATCATTTCATATTTTTTTCGATAAATGTAATCAACCAAGGAGAAAAAATATATAAAACTCCCTTCATGTTTTAAATCAAAATGGTTTTTAAGTACAATAGAATTAATTTTTTTTTTTTTTTTTTTTTTAGAAATCTTTCAAATAATTGTGGGTGCAATCAAGTTTCCCTAAATCCCTACTAATTTTATTTTTGTGTGGATAGGTGGAAGTATGTTGAAGTTATCACACTTTGTAAAAAAAAAAAAAAATACAATCCTAGGAGTGCTATGGCTCCGATTCAGATTTGGAAATTTTCTTCCAAGGAAAACTGTTTGCTCTTTCATATTCTTATAACAGAAATATGACTTTAATGCTAAGAGTAGGGAGTGACAGTATTAGCAAACGATAGATGCCTATTTATTGTTTAAATTTTATTTTTCATTATATTTTTAGTTAATGTGGGTGAAATTCATTGGCTAACGAGCATTCATTTATTTTTGTATTTATTCATTTAAATAAATTGTATTTAATTTCGTTATAAAAAATAAAATATTTAATTAAAATATATCTTTAGTTTATTGCAAAAAGTCACTGAGTATATTTTTGCATTGAAACATATTTTTGCAATATAAAAATAAAAAAATAAATTATGACAAAAAAAATAGAGTGTGAATATGAGATAAACAAAATCTTCTTTCTTACAGTTTATCAAGTTACATAAATTAACTGAATGTTTTCTTGGTAATACCATAGCGTAAGATGATATAAAGAGTTCAGTACTTGATGGAGTCCTTAAATTGTCCATAACTTTAAATCTGACCTGGGCCCAATATTTGGGTTTAATTACATTATTAATTGAATATTTTATTCTCTCACAACACTAAAACGTACGAATGAGAAATCATAATAAAGAATACTTTACCAAAAGAACATCTTTTTATTAGCTTATACATTAGGTTTAGTTTAGATTGTACATTAGGTAAATAAATTGATAAAAAAAATCAACATGTGTTGTCAAACTAATTTTTTTCTCCATTCATTCAAATTATTAGTGCTTTTAGTCATAAGAAACTCATGAATGCATTTAGCAGTAGTACTTATAAATCCATAAGCCCACAAAAAAAAAAAAAAAAAATTAAAATTCAACATATAAAAACTTTAAAAACAATTGCACCCTACATCACAGAAAACTATAAATTTATCTTCTTATTTTTCTTTTTTTTATTAGGAAGCTTACGTTTATAATTTTTTCATATTTTAGGCAATAAAACTTCCAATTTTCTTCATATTTTTTTATTTATGTTTATTGTCTCTTACGTTTCGGGACAATTTTCCCATCATCAGAGTAATATTTCATTTTTACTTTCTTTTTTTGATGTGTCACCATTTGTCAAAAATTAAATATTTGTCACATTTTTTAAAAATTATTTGGTGTTACACATATTCATTGATCATTAATCAACTAGAATATAGATATAGATAGCCAGATGTTGATTAGTGATCAATGAATATGTGTAACACCAAATAATTTTTAAATGTAAAAAATATTTAATTTTTGACAAACGATGCCACATCAAAAAAAGAGAGTAAAATTGTCCTGAAACGTAAGATACAACAAAAATAAATAAAAAAATATGAAGGAAATTGGAAGTTTTATTGGCTATAATATGAAAAAATTGTAAATAAATAAAAGAATCAAACAGTGAAAGGAAATAGAGATACAATTATCAAAACAATCAGAGAAGGTACATAAATTACCATAAGTGTTAAAGTAACAATTAACATATTAAGTGATTACCTTGTCCCAATGTAAAATATCCTTCCAGATATAACATAACTATCTCTGAACTATAATAATGCATTATTATACTATATATATATATATATATATATATATATATATATATATATATATATATATATATATATTTCTATTATACTTTGTCCAAGACTATCATAATTAGCAATATTTTAATTTTTAAAATCTAAATATCTGATAAGGATCCCATGGCACCTAAAAAGCTTTTGGCAATAATTATGTTTTATCTAGACATCAGTACATTTAAGGGATTTAAAATGCAGAAGCCATTTTGCAATCTTCTAAATTTTCAATATTTATACTAATTTAGTGTTATCACTTTTATAAAAAATTTTAAATTTTTATCATATTGAGATTTTTTTTTTTTAATTGAGTGTGGATCTAGCAAGTGACATATTATAAAGTAGAAAAGGTAAATAAATTAATATAATTTGATACAATCAACAAGCTAATATATGAATTTTCTTATAATTTTTATCATATTAAATATTTTCTAAGAAAAAAAAAAAAAAAAAATACTACAATAGTAGAAGGAAACAGAGTTCAAGAGAGGTCAACGACTGGCCCATAAACCTTAAGAAATTGTAAACACTCTAAATTTCATAAAGATCAAAGGCGGGTAGGTAATAAAACTAGCAGTCAGGTACACAAAAGTGAAACTGGGACCTACCAGGTAATTTCTGCAATACCAATTCCATGCCTGTTCAGTAAATATTGTGATATTTGTGATGGAATACAAGTACATATGTATTTCTTTCCACAAATCTTTCTTTTTTTTATATGTAATATGTATAAATATAAAAGAAAAGAGAAAATTTTGAAAAAAAAAAAAAATCAAAAGTGTAAAATGAAGTAATCTTTAAAAACCCCACCCATGGTCAAAACCGATCATGATTTATAATAAAACCTAAGGTTGGTTACAAATACAGCCAGTATGAATATTTGAATAACTTATTTTATAATTAACTATGCATAATTATTTTTCATTGAAATTATGTTTTTCAATGAAAATTATCTTAGGTTCATACTGCTCATCTCATGTTTTACTTATGTAAAGAATTTGTATATTATGTTTGTTATAACAATGTTATTTTTTTTTCTTTTTTTTTTTTTTTATTAAAACATCTATTTCCTTTTTTAAATTAATCATGTTTTGGAGATGTTTCCTGTTATAAGTGTTTTTGTTTTCCAATTTATGTCTGAATTTAATCTAGTTTATAATTGGAATTTCTTTTAAAAAATGTGGAAATTATTTTAATGGTCCTCCTCTTATATTATTTTCTTAAAAGTTCATATGTATTTGTTCTCACTGTTTCTGTTTATAGCACCGAATTGATGTCATTATAGTCCAATATTGATCGTCAGAGATTAATCTCCCTTCTATATAAAAAAGTTTTTTTAGTGACCGTGTCATATTTTATCATACATATAGAAAGCGGGACAGACCGTAACAAAGACAACACACTTCTCACCCCCAGAATTATTTCTTCCTTTTTATGGTTACAAATAGGCAATTAGAATAATTATAATTATATAATAATAGAAATTAGCAATTTATAGTATACATTTTTAGAAGAAAAAAAGTTAATTTTTTACTAGTTTATACCAGCGAGAAATCTCGGATTACATAACTATTATTAAACTATTATTTACCATACAAATTATTATTTAACTATGCTAGTCTTTTTGTTCCTTGTTTTTGATATTCCAAAAATTAATGTAATCAACAAAATATTAATAAGAATATACTAATAAATGTTTTACTATACTAAATATTCTCCTAGCAAAAAATACATAAGTAGAATAAGGAAACAGACCAAAAGAGTTCAACTGCATGCCCATAAATCTTAGACTGGAAATTTCCAAAAGATAAAAGGCGGGTGGGTAATAAAACTGACAGCCAGGTATACTAAACTGAAACTGAAATTTTAAGGGATTTATCAGGTAATTTCTGTAACACTCTTATACATTGCCAATATATAGAATTCTTTTTACATAGATTGAAACCTAACAATATTAAATATATCATAGTTAAACATGAGATTTGTGTTAATATATTTAAATGGATATTGCTGGGGATAGAGGTATTGCAGAAATTACTTGATAAATCCTCTGTATATACATGTATAAGTAAAAATAAATAAAAAGTTATGAATGATCCCCTGCAATATCCATTTAAATATATTAACACAAATCTCATGTTTAACTATGATATATTTAATATTGTTAGGTTTCAATCTATGTAAAAAGAATTCTATATATTGGCAATGTATAAGAGTGTTACAGAAATTACCTGATAAATCCCTTAAAATTTCAGTTTCAGTTTAGTATACCTGGCTGTCAGTTTTATTACCCACCCGCCTTTTATCTTTTGGAAATTTCCAGTCTAAGATTTATGGGCATGCAGTTGAACTCTTTTGGTCTGTTTCCTTATTCTACTTATGTATTTTTTGCTAGGAGAATATTTAGTATAGTAAAACATTTATTAGTATATTCTTATTAATATTTTGTTGATTACATTAATTTTTGGAATATCAAAAACAAGGAACAAAAAGACTAGCATAGTTAAATAATAATTTGTATGGTAAATAATAGTTTAATAATAGTTATGTAATCCGAGATTTCTCGCTGGTATAAACT